TTGGTCATTGTGACATAACTCTGGATTTAATTTTCGGCCTATTTCCTTTTTAGTCTGCCTGTCCCACTCCACAATCCCCATACAGGCCTTTTTCTTAGTGATTAACAGTTCAGGACCGGCTGTGGCTGTTTTGCACTGCTGTTTGGTTTTAAGTGGAAACTGTCACTTTAAATTTCGAGGAGATCTGTGCACATGCTTAGTAGAACCCTCTGGGGGTGGGGGTGGAGGTGGAGGTGGGGTGTCCACTCGCTCAGGCATCCCCTCTATTCACCAGAATTGAGGTGCAAAGACAGCAAGGGACCAATGAACAGATACAATAAAAAATAATGTCCAGACCTTTATCTCTACAGTTCTGTCACGCGCCCTCTGATCCTTCCCCAACTTGGTCTTGCCCAAGATGGAGACTCTGGGAACAGCTGAGTGTCCTGAATTAGAAAGTAATGGATTTCTTACTTTTGCTACAAATTCCCCTAGCTGTAAGCCTTCCAACCTTCTAAATATTCCTTTATATGTGGTTCTGAGTTTGGGGACCATCCCCTGAGCCTGCTTGGTCTAGTATTCTGTGTTGTTGCTGACAGAGCTCCTCACTGCACTTCCTCCTGATCCACCATCTTGTTTGTTCTCCCAGGCCTTTCTTTTGAGGCCCCTCTGGGTGGACTCCAACCTACAACCTTTCTGTTCACAACTGGGTAGATAATCACTTGCACCCACCAAGGGCTCTGACACACACGGGGTTGCCATGAGTCAGAGTTGAGTTGATGACAACTGGTTTGGACACAGTGGTGGCTCCATGGTAGAATCCTCGCCTCCTGTTCAGAAGATTGGTTTATCCATCTGACCAGTACACTTCATGTGCAGCCACCAACTGTGTGTTAGTGGGACTTTCCCAGATCAACTTCTAGACTAGGAAGATGGACTCAGAAGAAAGACCTGGCGATCTACTTCTGAAAATCAGCCAGTGATAACCCTGTGTATTACAGCAGTCCAATCCACAGCCCATCCTGGGAATGATGCCGGACAACGTCGTGGGTGACTCTAATGCAACTCCCTCAACCCCCTGCTCCCATTTATGCTTTTTACTAAATGCTTGCATGGGCTTGTTACTGAAGAAAATATTCAGCTATGAAAATGCTGATCTAGTCTGATCTACTGATGTATTCTGCTCTATTACTGATCTATTCTGGTCTAAGGATTAACTCATAGAAAAATCTGTAACAATTGATTAAACCTTTCCTCCCCTGAATTAGAATTCCCTTTTTTAAGAATTATCATACATATCATCCTTCGAACCCCAGAAACGTCAATGCTGTTTGCCTATTCACACACTTTGAGAAAAAGTGTTGTATTTTCGCCTTCTATAAAAAGCACTGTTTTAATTTGAAGGCATCAGGACCTAGAATGTCCAGGTTGCACTTCCTGCCTCCAGGTTATTAGAAACATACCTGTCTTATCTGGTCACTCCCAGGATGGGATTCCAGAGAGTAAAACACATACGCTGGCCCCATTTCCCATCAGGAATACTTTGGAAATAGTGGTTCACGATGCCAGGAAGGCAGAGAGCTTGCTGTGCCTCTCCCTGAGCCCACACAGAGCCTCGTCTGCTGTGGAGCGGCATCACAACGACACAACCACACGTCCCAGAGGAGACCAGACACAAATTCCCTGTCTGAGCAATGCCAAAATCAAAGGGACATTTTCCACACGCACTTCTATCTGTGGGATTGTTTGCTGACGTGTGGAACTGCTGACTTGCGTAAGTGCCAGCCCATCTGGCATCAACGCCAGGCTCTGGAGCTGCACTGGTCACTCAGCACGGACAAGCAGGGACGCCTTCCTCAGGGTAATCAACTGCTTCAGCCTGCCTGAGCTGTCTCTTGTCCACACCTTGAGGGTGCAGGGCCAACTAGCCAGGTCTTCCTTCCTCCTCTCAGGCACATTTCAAAAAGAGAGGAACCGGCTTTACTAAGAAATTTTACAAAGAAGCTTTCTCTGTGCTCCCCTGAGCACACACTAAGAAAATACTCTCTGAAATGAATGAGAACAAGGTAACCAAGATCACTGAATCATGTGGTTGTTGTTGTTGTTGTTGCACACACTAAGAAAATACTCTCTGAAATGAATGAGAACAAGGTAACCAAGATCACTGAATCATGTGGTTGTTGCTGTTGTTGTTGTTGTTAGGTGTCATGGAGTCATGGGGGTAGAAATGGTTAAATGGAAACCTAATTTGCAGGGTAAACTTTCTCTTTAAACACAGTAAAATATTATTTTCAAAAAATAAAACTATCCTTTGAATTCAAAAAATATGATGCCTAGTGAACGCTGAGCATTTGTTTTGTCGAATACGCTAGGGTAGAAGACAGGATTGGTGGATCAATTCCAACAGGGCAAAACCATTAGGAAATCCAGGAATAAAGGTTGGGCTCATCATGAACTTGAAGTCATTACAATAATTATAGCTACCATATGGATCAGCACTGGACGTCTAACTACAAAGTTGGTTGTTCAAACCCTCCAGCCGCTCCTCGGAAACCCTACAATCAGAACCCACTTGACGGTACTTAACAACACACATATACTTACTGAGTACATCTTGTGAGAGATGCATGTTACATGCATAATTCTTAATGCTCATACTATTTTATGAAGTACCAGTATCCAAGGCCCATTTTAAAGATGAGGAAACTGAGGCTAATGAGAAGATGGACAAGGAGAACTACTCCTACTTAGGAAGTCATAGGAGTCAGGTCTGTCCTAAATTCTGCTTTTCTTATGCATGATGATCATATCATTTCATCGCTTCAAATAGACTTAAAACCTTGATGATAAATATCAGTGTGAACATACTGATTTGCCCTGGTGTCTGTGGTAAATGACAAGGTTCAAAATACTAGCCTAAGCACTGAGGTCTAAAATGAGGCGGAATGACTTCAAGTTCAGCACACAAAATGATTACAGGTGGTGAGAAAACTGACGCCAATTGCTGGCTGGTTTCAGCTGTGGATGTTCTGAGTGTTTAAGGCCCTTGCAGCTCACAAACATTCAAACGTGTTCCTTTACAGGCTATGACCTTTCCCAAGATTCATGCAAGTTGCTTTCAGTTTCAGAGTCGAGCCACCAAAGAAAACCGATGCTATTACTTTAGGTTGTTGTTGTTGCTAAATGCCATCGTGTACGTTCCAACTCATAGAGACCCTGTATAGGACTTCCAATGAGTGGCTGGTGGGTTTGAGCCACCAACCTCTTTCAGCAATCCAGTGCTTAACCTACATCGCCACACCAGGATTCCTATTATGCCAAATTGTTGTTAAGAGCTGTCGAGTCGGTTTCAATGCATAGCAAGAAGCAGCTGGTGGGTTTGAACTACCGACATGTCAGTTAGTAGTTCTTATACTACAGTGCCACACCAGTATTGCAGTATGGCTGTTAGAGGCTTAAAGAAATTCCCCAAGTAGGAGTTTTCCAAGTGCTGGGAGAAATGAGAGCTGCCCACAACTGGATAGATAGTACCCTTAAATGTTTATTTTCAAGGGAACAGCCTTTGGCTCTTAGGTGTTGGGGTGCTTTTGTTAAAAAGTCAAAATGTCACCTAAAATCTGCGGTCAGCTGATTCACTGAGTGTAGGAAATCTCTGCATCCAGACACGTTGCCTCTGGCCACGTTATTCTCTAGCAGACACTCCTGTTCCAAAGGTTCGCTGCTCCTGTCCCATCCCACCTAGAAGTAGCCACCTAAGCCTCTCTCTAGCCTATGCATCACAAACCTGGACCCCATCATTTCTCTTGCCTTAAAAACTAGCAAGTTGCTCACCACCAGTAACAGAAGGCTCCTTTGCTGCCCAGAAAGTTAAGTTCCAACTTTAGCAGATCAAGCAAGTGCCCTCACCTGCATGCTTGTGGGGATGCTGGAGACTCCGTGGGCCTTGGGGGCTGCTTCCTTGTTGTAAGAAGAGGGCTGCTCCCTTCACCATGAAAAAGCTCTCGCTTAAGCTGGGAAGAACAAAACCAGAATGTGGTTAGTCTGGAATTCAGAAAACGAGCTGGACAAAAACAAGCTGCAGAGGAAAAGCGTCAGAGGGGACACAGGGCATGGAAAATGCAAATGCAATGACATGGTTTTCTAACAACTTCCTGGCATACTCTTCGCAAACCTGTGAAATAATGTGGCTGCTGCTGGGTACCACTGCATTGATTTTGACTTCTGGTGACCCTAGAAGTTTTTTTGTCATTGAGAATAACACAGCAGAGCAGACACCAAGTTGGCAATGTATACATGTATATTTGTAGTTGTGAAGTGCTGTCTGACTCATAGTGACCCTGTGTAGAGTTTCCAAGGAGCGGGCTGGTGAAATTGTAGCAATTTCTACATATACACTTAGGTGACATTAATTATATTGATGCTTTTTCTGTCCTTTTATACCATGGACATAAATCTGCTACCTCCTAGGTTTCCTATTTGGAGCTCTAGTGTGCACTGTGGGATAGCACTGGACTACTAACTGCAAGATTGGCAGCTCAAACCCAGAAGCCAATCCTTGGAAACCCTATAAGGGTCGCTATGAGTTGGAACTGACTCAAAGGCACTATGTACCCTCCAGAGTCGCTGCTGCTGATTTGATCCCACATAGAGAGCTCTGGTAGCGCAGTAGTTACCAGTTGGGCTGTTAACCTCAAAACTACCAGCCGTTAAGTGGGAGAAAGATGAGGCTTTCTGTTCCCATAAAGATTTACAGCCTCAGAAATCCTATGCAGGGTCACTATGAGTCAGAACCAACTCCATGGTACATAACCACCACCACCATATAGTTTTTTAAAAAGGTGCAATGCTGAAAAGAAACATTCTTTTTCATCAAAACTGTGGTTTAAGCAAAACTCCTGTAGTTTTTTTGTTTGTTTGTTTGTTTTGGTTTAAAGTTTAAAGATGATCTCAGGGCAATAGTTTTGAGGTTCATCCAGTCTCCTAGGCTCTAGAAAGTCTCCAACTTTTCTCACCTTTACTGTTTCTTGGCACCCGCCTCTGATGGAATGCAAGTCAGAAGAAATTATGTTTTCAGTCTTGGTACGAGGGTGCTTTGGAAAGTTCGTGGTGAAAATTCCATTACTTTTTCATTC